ACATGTTGCGGCGCCGGTCAAAACCTACTTGGAAATACTCAATTGGGAAGTTTTACCCCACCCGCCGTATTCACCAGACATTGCTCCTTCTGATTACTACCTGTTTCGATGGCACATGACTCTGAGCCATCATATGAAGATACCAAAAATTGGGTCGATTCGTGGATAGCTTCAAAAGATGAAGCGTTTTTCCGACGCGGTATCCATATGCTGCCAGAAAGATGGGAAAAAGTAGTGGCTAGCGATAGACAATACTTCAAATAAAACATTAGGTACCGTTCTTTCACAATAAATGCCCAATTTTTGGTAAAAAATGGCGGAAACTTATTTATACTCCTAATATTAACCTAAAAATTTTTTAGTGTTATATAGTATACAATATTTTAAAATAGTATACAATATTTTAAAAGTAAACATATCTGTGTTTGCGACTAACATATAAAAGAAATCTAGCCTTTTAATAAGAAAAATCCCCTTTATACCACTTTTATCAGAAAAGATAAACCCTTTATACCACTTTTATCAAAACATTTTTTTTTTAAAACTCCTTAATACACATGGCATTTAAAGGGATCAATAATATGGTATTAGGGAGTTCATCAGGGGGCATAAAGACGTTCGTCCCAAGCTATCACACAGACGTTGTATATAAAATTGATTGCCGAAATTGTGAAGCATCATATGTGGGCCAAACAGGTAGATGTTTGAAAACTCGCATAAATGAACATAAAAATCACATAAATTGGAACACTACAGCATTCCGTAGTAACAGAACACAAAATTAATCATCAACATGATTTTGATTGGAAAAATATTAGGTCAATCGGAAAGTTCCGTCCGTTTTTTTTTTTTTGCAAAAAGTATGGTTTTATTTAAAAAACAAAATGAAAAAATATCTCAATCAAAATATTGTCCATCATTAGCAACTTTTTCCCATCTTTCGGGCAGTAAGCGAATTCCGCGGCGAAAAAATGACTCATGTTTGAAGTCCACTCAGAGACCTATTTTTCGACGTCTTCATAAGAATTGAAGTGTTCCTCTGCAAGTACCATCAATCGAAACAAGTGATAGACGGAAGGGTACAGTCTGATGAATAAATCGCATGAGATAGCAACTTCCCAGCGAAGTGCTTTCCTTGACAAGTTTTGTGATGTGAGGCCGAGCGTTGTCATGAAACAAAATCATTTTATGCTGTCTCGTTTTACATTCTGGTCGTTTTCCGTGCAATGCTTAGCTCAAACGGATAACTTGTTCTCGGTAGATCCCCTGTGACTGTTTGACCAGATTTCAACAGCTCGTGGTACACTACACCCTTCTGATCCCACCAAATACAGAGCATTGCCTTTTTTCCGTGGATATTCCGCTTTGGCATCGATGTCGATGGTTGGCCTGGATCGCAAATGGTTTTTCGGCATTGGGGTCATCGAAATAGATCCACTTTTCATTGCCAGTCACAATTCAGTATAAAAACTTCTTTCTATGTTGCTTAGCAAGCAGAATATGGGACCCATTTTCCTTCCTTGTAGACCTTTCCCAAGGCTTTCAAACGATCGGAAATAATAGATTGGGCACAATTTAATGCTTCTGCAAGTTGTTTTTGCGTCATGGTTCTTCATCCACCAGTGCCTGCAATTCTTCATCTTCAAATGCTCTTGGCCGTCTAGAACGCTCTTTGTCCTCCACATCAAAATTACCACTTTTAAAGCGTCGAAATCATTCTCTGCATCTTTTATCGGAAGGAGCACTATCACCATAAACTTCTATAAGCATTCGATGAGCTTTAGCTGCAGGTTTCTTCCATTTGAAGCAAAAAACTAATACTTCGCGCAAATGATACTTATTTGGCTCAAATGTCGACATTTTCGATGCAGTAAAAAGGAATGTTATTGATGCAAACATATACTTTTATATACTGAATTTTATTGACAGATGGTAAAACTAAAAAATTAAGCTTGGTTTAGACATTAGAGTTATCGACAGTTCTAGCTAGAGTTACTCGCCGCTAGATAGACAAAACTTTCCGATTGACCTAATATCAAGATAGACTAGTAAATGGTATTTAATAAAAGACTGATTTCGGAAGCGATACATATAAATGAACAGAAACAAAGTTTGAATTTATAGAATAATTCGTATTCTTTAGACCCACTATACATGAATTTGTTTACAGAATTGTGACGTTGATTTTATTCTCTCTTGTTCTTATTTTTATTTTTATTTCAATAACTATATGACTATTATTTTGACTCTCATTGTATCTCTGACTGTCGACACAAGACCTTTACGTCAAGTCGCGAGAAATCGCTTACATGTAAGTTGATATAATAAAAATTCAGACAAATGATTTTAATAATTCTCTAAATTTTCATTTTCGTGTTTCTTTTGAATGACTACACAGCAAATCTGACAATCTGATGAGCGATGTGATTCTACTTAGTGACGCAATGTATATGACTTCGGTTTTACTTTATGTAAGTTTTTATACTATTTTTGTATAATAATAATATTTTTGATAATCATTGGGCTATTCATTACATAATTTGGCATTTGGATAAAGAACTAAATTGTCGGAAATCATCAAATGGAATTTGCGTTATTTATGTAATTTTGATTTATATTTCATATTGTTAAGGACTCGAATTGAAGGATTAAAACGTATAATTTATTCGTTATAGTTAAGCAGTATATAAATTTTATACATAAATTAAGGAGGGACTTACTGCTACTCTGCAGGTTTTGGCTTTTGAAGATGACTGTCGGAGGTCCGATCTCTGTGACTGTAGGACTCTAAGGGGAGAATTGACCCAGCGATTTGAAGGCTTCGTTCGAGTCACTTAATAAGTGACTTAAATACTAACAGTAATAAGATCGCGAATAAGATCGCTTGAATGAACTGATCTCGGCTCACCACTAAAATCAATCCGGTTGCGGACCGGCAGAGTGTCGGCTGGCTAGATAACTTTTACTGTATAGTCGCGAACCGACAGAGTTTCGTGTCGAAGTTTGACTGATTATCTATTCACGAAGGGAATCCTCCTTTTTATATTCGCGAGTTAATAGCATATGTTACTGGTCTAATCTAAGATTAGGATTAAGGGTATCGGTTGTGAAATGCGATACTGGGAAATGTGTCTAAAACAACTTCCGTCGTCGATCAAATACTCAATAGATTTAGAATCACATTTACTATATTACAGACAACTGCTATTTAAGCATTGTTTGTTTTTCTTTTGTAATTCTTAATCTATTTACTTCTTCTGTTCCTCGGGATAAAGTTCGTCTATTTACAACACTTGGTTCAAATATTTAATCCAATAACTTCATCCCGAGTGGATTATCAGTCTAAAAAGGCGAATGTTATTCGGCTCATCACTATTGTAACTTCCTATGTTAGAAAACAGATGGTCTACCGGTATTATTTATTAATTTTATGGTGATGACGGAAATTCTAATCAAAGAAAAGAATTGTGGAGTCTGGACATAACACCTCTCGCGTTAGACAAATATTGGGGTCCGTGTTACACAATATTTGCGGACTAAACCGGTTTTTTCTTCGATGAGTTTATTAGGCCGTATGCCTTCTTAGGGCTGGAGGATCC